CAATAATCTGGAATTCTCAACTAATGATATCTCCGTAAAGAAAAGGGTTCATTGATAAAGAATAACGGTGTTATCTTCACTCAGAAGATCTCCACGGCATCATCCTTGATTGTCTAACAGTTGGATTTTTGATTTTTTTGGGTATTCATTTCTGAGAAAGAGAGCAAAAGTTCGAGACTTCCAATCAAAGGCGTAAGCACGGACTTTAACTGAATACCATTTGCACTGCCCTGTTATTCCTGTGTCAAATTTCGTGTACAATAAACTGTTATTTGTTTCAGAAAAGGAGTGGAGAGTTATTCTTAATACATCTTTATCAAAGAATCCGGGAAGCTTTCGATTCTGTTGTGTCGAGGAAGGATTTCGAGCTCTGTTTCAGTCCCATACTCTTACTCATCTAAGTAGCGGAAAAAACTTCAAAACTATAAACTTTTAAAAAGGGAAAAAATTCTGCAGTTCAACATTCTTCGGGATAGGGTGTTTGACACAAGAAGGAGGAGAGCCTGGCGTTAGCCGGGCGATCCGACTGATATATATGCCGATGTACTGACTGTACATTCTGCTAACCAGAACAACAGAAGAATTAATGTCATTTCGCATTCGTAACCCAGTACCACAGACTTTTCGTATGATTTTTATTGATTTCTCCTAATGAGCAGTGTCGATGTTAGGTTTTTGGCGGGTACAGCAAGATGTATGAGTGCTTGGAATGATAGGTGATGACATTTTAGTCAAAGTCTTCGCACCCTACATGTTTTTTGGCTACCTCCTCTACAACACCACATATCGCGTCTTTCGCAACAGCGGATGTGTTGAACACACTTTTAAGTTTTTTGAGCCAGAGAAAGAGTTTTTGCCGCGACGATGCGGTAGTTTGGCCGATTAAATGTGGTATCTTATAATTGAGGTCGTCCTATGCGGTCGCGTATCTGCCAGCTGCCGTGAGTGTTTTCTATTAATCGCATTTTAAGGCACTTCCTCTTTGTTTTCTGAGGATGTCTTCTGCGTCGAGTACTTCTCTTATCTAGGTAGTTTTCACAATTTTTGTCCGAGCTTTTTGGCTTTACTTTTTCTCTATTTTGTTTGGGTTGGCGGTTGTTGCCTGCTACTTGTTATTATTGACTCGTTAGACTCGATATATGGTAGATCAAAGGTCAAATAGAATGCCCTCAAAACAGCTGCGTTCTAAGAAGGCTTCTTTGAGCTATTCTCAGCCACTATCTGGCTCAAGTAGTAGAAGCAGCACTCAGGCAACTGTTCCACAGACAGAAAATTTCCACAATATGTCGGCCATGGAACTTATCAAGAGCGTCATTGAGCTTAATCATGACCCAGCCATCGAAAACATGCTAATTGCACTTTCGGAGAAGATTCCCATGAAATTCGCCGATCTTATCGAGGGCGATAAACGGAGCCGAAGTATAGTAATCTCAGGACTGGAGGAAGGGCAAGATGGTCTACGACCGTCGGCGCGTCAGAGGGATCTGGAGGACAAAGTTGCTGAAGTTCTCGTTGCCGTAGATGTGGAATGTCGTCCGGTTGAAATATATCGTATGGGAAAACCGAATTCCAAACACCCTCGCGTGGTGAAAGTTGTCCTGCCATCTAGAGTTCACTGACGGCGTGCTCTTGCCAGTGCTCGTCTTCTTCGAGATGCTGGGTTTCCGAAGGTCTTCATACGTCGGAGTATGACCGAGGATGAAAGGAAACGGGAATATGAGCTGCGGCAAGAAGCTCGTGAACGAAATAAGGGTAGTGGCGTTCGCGAATGGGTTGTCTATCATGGACAGCTCAAGCGCGCAGCTGAATTGCCACACAATCGTCCGGGAAACCTCTAATGTTGCACGGTAATTCTGTCCTTGCTTGCCATTTGCTGAACGCCCGTAGGCTTTGTAATAAAATGGACCATTTGCACGCCCTTATAGCTCAACACCATCCCGATTTGTTATTTGTAACTGAGACATGGCTCACTCCCAGCATCCATGACTCCGAGATATTAGCCGCTTTCCCGTATTTGGTGTACCGTGTGGATCGTAGTGAAGGTAGAGGAGGTGGAGTATGCTGTTCAGCTAAAGGTAATCTATTCTGCCATTCTGTTGAACTGAGTTCGTCCACTAAAGCTGATGTTCTCTGCCTAGAACTTTTCTGCCCTAGGAATGGTGCGCGAGTCCGGTTTATTCCTGTCTCGCCCACCAAACTCAAACAGAAGTGACGATGAAAAGCTGATTGAACTGCTTCGTGAAATAGTCTTGCCCGAGCTCAACAGTGTGGTTCTAGGAGATTTCAACCTAGCCATAGACTGGGTGAATCTGCGTGCACGAAACTCGATCTCCTCTACCTTTCTGGAATTCTTTTTGGAAGTGGGATTGGTGCAGCATGTCCTTGTACCTACCCATGGCAACAACACTATTGATCTGATCTTATCCACTGTCTCCAATGTGTGTGGCATCTCTATAGCATCGCCACTGGCAAACTCTGACCATGCTTCCATTGTTTTCAACGTGATGGAAGAGTTTGGAGTGGCCAGCTGCATTCCTTTTCCTGATTTTCTGAGCGTCGACTATAACGCCCTCGACGAGTACTTTTTTTAGCATCGATTGGCTTCTGCTGTTTGACAAATACACTTCTGTAGATGATGCATATCACAGGTTCTGCAAGGTGATTTATGACGCCCTTGCTAGATTTGTCCCGATGAAGTTCCCTAAGCACCGTCAAATCCAATACCCACCACATATCAGGAACTTGTTGATTCAAAAAGAAAGATTATTTCGAGATTAAGACGCTCCGCTGACTTCACCTCTTTATCGAAAAGTATGCTCTGACATAGACCGTCATTTGAAGAAGTTTCTAGCTGCGTACGAACACCGCCTTGGGAAACAAACCTGTATGAAACGCCTCCACCTCTACCTTCGTAGCAAGCTCAAATCTAAGTCATACCTGCCTATCCTAGAAGATCAGAGTGGCACTAGACTCCATAGTGACTATGCTAAGGCGGAATCTTTCGGAAGGTATTTTGCTAGTGTTTTCTCGGAAACTAAGTCATCTGTGAGCCAGTTGGGTTATAGTGCAATTAATATCCAAAGCAACTTTCCAGATATCATTTTTTACCCCTCTGACATCCGCTCTGTGCTGAGGAACCTGAAAACATCTGCTAGTGAGCCTTTCAACGGGATACCCCAAATTCTTTTTAAGAAGTGTCATAATTCTCTTTGCAGACCTCTTGCTCATTTGTTCAACATATCGTTTCTATTAGGGGAGGTTCCCGGGCTTTGGAAAAAGGCCATTGTTACTGCCATCCCCAAACAACTAGAAGCGACTAAAGTTAGTGAGTATAGGCCTATCAGCATAACTCCCACTGCTGTCAAGGTGATGGAGAAGTTGATTTTTGATAAACTGTTAGCATGGTTTGATAGATTCCATCTGATTCCCGTCGAGCAGCACGGTTTCCTTCCCGGGGCCTCTACCTGCACTAATCTCCTTGATACATGGTACGATGTTTGTCGGGCAGTCAACAATGGTAAGTCAGTAGATGTTATCCATCTATCTAGACCTTTCGAGGGCTTTCGATAAAGTCTGTCATCACAAGTTGATCAGTAAACTGGAGCGCTACGGTATTCGGGGTAAAACTCTCAACTGGATAAAGTCATAGCTATTCGGGAGGAGCTTGACAGTTCGCGTCGGCACTAGTTTCTCGGAGAGTTACACTTGCACTAGTGGTGTTCCTCAAGGAGGAGTGCTGTCTCCGCTGCTCTTTTTGATTTACACAATTGAGCTGCCTGAGCTGCTAAAAACTGGTAGTGACATCCATGTGCAAATATATGCTGACGACATCAAAATATACGCTGCTTATGAGGATGCGAGTACTAGTTCAGCGCAGCAAGCGCTAAGGTTGTCGGTGGAAAGAATGAATGAGTGGGCTTCATCATGGGATATTCCTTTGAACCTCAACAAGTGTTCAGTGATGCATTTCGGTAATGCTACTGCGATTGATTACGTGATTAATGGAATACACCTCCCGAGTGCTAGGTCTACTAAAGACCTCGGAGTTATTTTTGACACTAGTTTGAAATTCTCTAGCCACATTGACAGCGTCGTTAAGAAAGCGCTGGCTACCTTATTTCTGGTTATGAGGAATACGAGATGCTCTGATTTGTCCATAGTGTTACGCCTCTACAAAGCATATGTGCTGCCTCACCTAGAGTACTGCTCACAATTGTGGAGTCCTTACCTCAAAAAAGACTTTCGGAGGTTTGAAAGAGTCCAACACGTGTTCACTCTAATGTTGTGGTATAGGTCCAAATCTACTGCAACCATCCCCCCATACCGTGTTCGACTGAAATTGTTATCCCTCCATTCTTTGCAGTATCGACGAGTAATGACGGATTTAGTGTTCTGCTTTCGCGTTCTTCGAAAAGAGTTGACGTTATCTGCGAGTAAATATTGGACTTTCAGGCCAACCAGCGAAAGATTAGGTGGGTTTAATCTTCACTAAGCCCCCATTCACTCGAAAAACTACTCGTTGATGTTCAATAATCTCTTTAATCGGTGTGCCAGGTGGTTCGAGCTTCTGCCGCCCTATGTACTTCAAGCGCCAAACAGTAAGGTATTCAAGAGTAGATTAAGCGAACTCGACCTCTTGAGCACCTTAGGTTTTCAAGAACATATCTAAGTCGTTATATTTGTTTTTGACGTTTCAGTTACCTCTAGCGACTGCCGTCCTACTGATCCATGTCCAACGTTTACACGAATATCTCTGGAGTTACTAATCAGGATTGAACCTCAATTGCCCTCTACTCTCAGTATTTTTTCTCTTCGTTTGCAGCAGCTCTTTTCTTTCCTAGTTGTTGCTTTCTTAACTGTGTCATATTGTATTGCATTTATTTCTTTATTTTACTACTTTCTATTTTTCGTCTCTCCGGAGCGAGAAGTCGGTTGAGGGTTGTAGAATTTCGACGACGCTGTGACCTTTGTCTATTTGTGTTCCAGCTGTTTGAGGAGCCTGTGGGACGATAAATATTCAAGGTCCTATCTGATCTTCTCGCTTCTTTTTCGGATGCATTGTTCGTATAGGGCTGACATTTCAGCAAGCTCCAGGGCTGCGCCCTCTATGAGTCTTTATACCGCAGATCGGAACTTTGTTGGATATCACTTTTTTCACAGAGGAGAGCAGCTTACCTTCACACATAGGGGAGGTCCCAGTGTGATACTGATGATGCCCTTTATGCAACATCCTTGCTCTGTTTTCTTCGTTCCATTTTTCACAGTATGATGTTTGGCCTTCAGCCTTGGGCTCTGCCTCAAGGCTCTCTCCTATTTCTTCTTTCAGGGCATTGTCTTCCGGTTTTTGTTGACAGGAATTGCCTCAGAGTCCTGCTTTTATATTGTACGGCACACCCTCGGGTGTATTCAAATAAATAAATAAATAATCAACTAGCTCGAGCTTATGGAAGAGTTTGCGCTCCCACAAGACGAGTCAATTCTAGGGGCAATAGATTTGCAAGTCATTTTTACATTACTTTCGAAAATGCCCAAAAAATGACTTCCGGGGCGAGAATTGAATTTATTAGTAATTTTTAGAAATTAGCAATGTTCTTCTTGGCTCACCTTGTGTATAATGTTGTTTGGTAATTGCAAACCTATAGAATACGAAAAACAAGTAAAAGTGATAATCGAGAAAAACAACCAATGACAAGGGTGCGGTCCACCGTTGAGCCGCGTTGTCCCACGCGACCAAAGAAGCGCGGCTCACCGTTGAGCCGCGCCGTCGTCAAAGGTTAAGTTAGACACTAAAACCTTTCCTTACAAGCGTTTCTTAATTTTTTATTGTTTGATCTAGTCTAGTCTCCTCAAACACTCGGAAGTAGTGTTCTCTCAAAGGTACTTTCATCAGTTATCGTTTATCTTTTTATGTCATCCAACCACCACATCTATTTATCTTCTTGATTAATTAAGGAAATTGATGACCGGAGAGGAGAAGTGGCGTACAAGTTGTTCGGAAGGTTTCACAGTAGTTGCATGAGTTCTGTGGAAGCTATCGAGCATAAAGGAATCACTGTTCGTCGAAATGTGGAGATAGTTGATTTGGTGGGCTTTACTTCATAAGCCACTTTATTTGAGTTTTTTCGAAAAAGTCCCTCGAGTCCGATCAAATAACATATTGAATTCAATTAATTCATAATTAATATCACGTGATGCGAACATTCAAAGCGGGTTGGAAATTTGAGCGAGTATGGAGCGGGGATCGGATCCCGGTCTGGTACTTACTAAAGCCATATGAGCCATTCATTTTCCAAGGTTCATTGATTAAGATCACAGTCGCTTGGAAGAATGGAAGCGCTTAAATCAATATCGGCTAGCCTCACCAGTTTATTTTTCGGACTACATATGCACAGAATGCGTAGACGTTCGTCACGGCAAAGCTGGACAACGTCAAAAAACTCCATTTGATCGCCTCCTTCTAATATGTCCCATGATCTCGAGTAAAACTGCTGTCATATAATTGCGGCTGAACTGAAAAAATTTACAGAGGCCTTGCTCCCTAAATGCAGTGAATTAGTGCTTTTTTTGTTTCATCACAAAAGGATCTGATAAGCCAAACAGACGGGAAGGTTTGTTTGTAAATGTTGGGAACTATGAGTGTCGTATGGCACTTCTGTTCTTTCCCTCCACCCATTTGCATCCATTCTCGATTACCTATTCTCTTATTCTTCCCAGAGTTGTATATGATTATCAGTAATGTTAAAGACGAAGCCTCATCCTTCTCGCTGGTCTCGTTCAGATCTTGAGTTGATGCCCTCCTCAGATCCGATTAATTGTTTGGCTCTGACGGGCTCGTCAACCACCATCATGGTCAAACGACTCACAAGGCGTAGCCTACGCAGAAAGCCATTCGTCAGTGTATGAGTTCAATCTCTGAAGGTAGCCACTGTCGCCAATACCGCCAATACGGTTGCGACCTGTAGCACCGTCCCTGTTACGACCATGCAGTATAAGCAGAAGCAAAATGTACTCGTAATGCGACTTCTCCTCCCCTCGGGTATCAGTTGTTCGAAATTGTTCCGAGAAGTATCTCTAGACCATTAAAAATGAAGGAGACGAAGCCCTCCTGTATAAATATTTGTTGCGATTGACTGGAGTAGGAAGTGACGAAGCATGTACCCAGTGATGCTATATTTCGCCAAGAGGAATCGCCGGTACATATGCAGCGATTGGGGTAAGCATAAAAGTGTTGTCTTGAGTTCATAATCGCGATCGGGCAATCAGTTTCCAGAGAGTGAATTTTTTACTCTTCACGGAATTTCTACATTACCACATAAAAAATAATTTCATATGGAAAATGTTGTTTCTGCAAACTTGTTGATGTCTCAGAAGATTTACTCCCCTCTAGGGTATTTTCGGTGCAAAATTATCAGACGAATCTTCCACAAGTGCTAGGTTACCGTGGCCGCAGTTTGAGGCCTAATCGGCCAAGTGAAAAACCATAGTGTCCCAAAACAAGGGTGCTCAAATTCAAAACTTACGCAGGAAGGAAAATTTGTGATTTTCACTTCATTCGCTATCACTTAGATGCAAAAGTAGGTTTTCTCGCAATCTGCGTCCATTTGAAAATTTCGGGGTCTTAACTCGCGCAATCCGCGAGTTAAGACACAGAAATTTTCAAGATGGTGAAATTGCTCAATGCCTTCTGCCATTATTCGCACGTAAAAGTCTGAAAGGCCATGCAAATTCCTTTCGACTTTGATAATGAGCGTACAGGGGGCTTTTACACGCTACTACCTGCTAGAGAATACCGGTATCAATCGAAAGCAAACTTGGTAGAAGTAGAAAGACCACCTTTCCCGAAGGACTATCAAGATGAGTAGTTCACGAATCGGTCGTACTCCTGAGTGGGTCCATCAAATGGATCGCGATGGAACCGGTCGTATCGATGGTAACGGTGAAGCAGATTGTTAGGAATAGGTATCGTCTCTCCTATCGTATGAAAAAACGCTACTTTGTTTCCAATCCCAACTGACACTGTGGGGTTAGAAAATGCAGAGAGTTGTTAACCCATTGGCGACCGCGCCTTTTTAGCGTGTCTGGCGTGTGGGCCGACGGCGGGCCACACGGTCCCAGGAGCAAACTGATTTTTTGTGAACACTTTCACCAGACAAAATTTTTTATAAAATTGACGAGGAAAAAAAGATATGTTGTACACAACAAACAGTGCTGTCGTTATGGCATCCTTGTTGCTTTTTAGTGTTCTAAAAGATATAGGAAACTTCTACAAAATTGTCTCTAAATGTGCCCAGATCCGACTCCATCGAAACTCAGAGAAACATATAAAATCAGAATGGCTTATTTCAAATCATCGGCTACACTGTGGCGATCTATGACTTACAAATTTGGGAAAGGCGATGAAAAAACACTTACTTTCATCTGACATCACTTTCATATAGAACAGCTGTAAATTTCTTCGGCACAGAAAAGCTGTATGAACTCCGAAAGAATCTAGAAAAGAGCTGAACATCTGAGCTTTACTTTGGAATTCTTCAAAAGCAGCCACCTGTGAAGACCGGATATAAATGCCCGAGCATGACACCAGTCCAATCATGGTTTTACTCATATTCCCTTCGCCTTAGTAGTTTAGTATTTTGCAATCAAGTGGATCCGCTGGTGCAGTTATCCAAGCTTGAGGTCCCTTATAATGTGTAAGGTACCTCAAGCTTGCTTACTTACACCAGTACTAATTCTAACTTTTTACGCCACAATCGCCAACTTGTAAGCCTCGTAATGGTGGCGAATGTGGTGTAAAAATTGGGGGCGTTTTATCGCTCGATCCTTCCAAGTAAGTCATCGAAGGCAGGGTAACTTTACACTCTTTCATGCATGAATTATGATTAAAATTATATTTTTTCCTGGGATGGTGGATTCCAATTATTATGATGATGCCGATCTGGATGAACATTTTCGAGATTTACTGTTGGACTCCGACGCAGAAGACGAACTCGGCGATACAGATGATTCACAGGATTCGCAGGCAATTTTTCCCTCAAGAGAAGAGTCTACTTCAGATTCCAGTTCGGTGGCGACACTTGACACCGAAGACAGCGACACCGAAAAATGGACAAGTGATGTTGAAGCTGACACTAGGTGGGACTTCACTCAGCAACATGGGCCGAGCAATGCGGTGTCAATGTTTTCCGCTCCGATAGATTTGAACCTCCCTCTCCGAGAGCGACCCACAAATTGGAAAGATCTGAGAGCCACTCAGAGGAAAACAGAAGAAGATGCACAGGTTGCTACGAGAAGAAAAGGTCGCACTTATGCCATGAACCATGCAAAAAAAGTTTCGACAAGGTGCAACAAATGCCACAATCACTTTTGTTTGAAATGTTTTCTGAGTTATCATAAGAAGTGCATGTAACTTATTAGTTTATAAACTTTGGTCTTGCTCCTTTATCGCTGCCCTCAGAGATACTTTTGTTTTCTGTCATTACTATAGGCGGAAGTTAATGATACTCGGACCACTGCGCCTCAAGATTCTATAGAGGGTCATAATCCTGCTTTATACTCGAAAGCGTCAAAAAAATTGAAAGTGAATGTTTTACATGAAAAATACCACTGTGGCCCGTATACCAGCCACGCGGTCTCAGGAGCACGATATGGTGTGGTCCGTATACGGGCCACGCGGTCGTCAATGGGTTAAATCGCCCCGAGGCATCATGAGGGTTTGGGTAGGAAGCCACGAGCTATGTTGAGACGCGCTTGATTTCGTCGGCTTAGGCGTGAGAATTGACGAGGACGTGTTTTTAAAGGACATGCTGACAATGTTCCGACTCGACCCGATTCTGCTTCATATAACAGCCTTGGTACTTTTAGCAGGAAAGCACTTAAGCCAAAGGAACCAATCACGTCCAGGGACGATGCCACGTGCCGCGCACGTGCCCATCTCCCGATTTCATTGCAACCGAGGAATGGCCATCCTGCTCGTCAATCTTTAGTTACTTTAAAATCTCAAGTTCAAAATTCCCCTTGAAAGCTAGACTCAAGAACGGCTGAGAAGGAACGGAGGAGGACCTGCGTGCAACATGCGGGAACTTCGGTAACAGAGTTCGGGCCTATATCCGTGCTCATGGGATATTTTGAATCGTAATTGTAGTCATTGTTGCAGAATGTTGAATTATATAAGCACAGGTGTATATGAATCTCATTGTGAGAAGTTTTGAAAGTTCTGCTATGTGTAACCTTTAATCGCAAAAATATCTTCATAGGGTGCGCTACAATGATGGTAACAAAATGTCTTGTACAGAAACAGCGATTCATATTGATACATGGAGAACATGTGGAACATTACTGTGCAACAACAAAATGAAGGCGCGGTCATTTGATATAAATGTCTTCTCTACTAATTTTAGCTTGAATATGCTTCGGCTACGCCTCGACAGCGGCACGCAGGGTTGCTTGAGGAACTCCAGTACGAGCTTTTTCGAGAAATTCTTAGAAACAATAACAGTGATGTGTTTTGAGGCGCAGGTTTCCCTTTCCAGCATGAACTATTCCCAACGACCAATCCTACTATATATATAACGCTCTAAGTGTGTCTGTTGGTTTGTCTCTGTGTGTGTCTCTCTGTATGTCTGTGTGCGTGTGTGTATGTGTGTATGTGTGTATGTGTATGTGTGTATGTGTGTATGTGTGTATGTGTGTATGTGTGTAGCCGTGTGTATGTGTATGTATGTGTGTGTGTATGTGTGTGTATGTATGTGTGTGTCTATGTGTGTACGTGTGTGTATGTTTATGTGTGTGTGTGTATGTGTATGTGTGTATGTGTGTGTATGTGTGTATGTATGTGTATGTGTGTATGTGTGTGTATTTGACCAGAAATTCATAACTGCGGCCCCATGGACCTAAAGCGCTCAAACTTGGTAGAAATACAGGCTGCAGAATGGGAACACTTATGGTGGGGGGGAGGGGAAGGACCAGACCCCGCCCACAGAGGGCGGGGTTTGTGCGAAATAAATGTTCGAGCGAGAAGTCATAACTCCTGTCCCGTGGACCTAGATTGCTCAAATTTGGTAGGAGTACAGGCGGCAGGATGTGAACATTTATGGTGAGTGGCAGGGCCGGACTCCGCCCTTAGGGGGCGGGGCTCGCAGAGAAATTAGGTGGGATAGGTACATTGGTGATAGGTTGCAGGACTAAACTCCGCCCCAAAGGGCGGAGGGTGAACAAATACTGTTGGTTCGGACCCAGACCGTTGAAATTTGGAGGCATAAGGAGTTGGCTGGGAACATTGATGGTGGCTAACATACATAGTAGACTCAGCCGCGATGGAGTCTCTGAATACTTTTTTCTCTGAATAATCGCCTTTGTGATATTATGCGATGTTCTATTCGAGCGAAGATAGCTTACAGAAAGAATCGCTTCCATTTCGGAGCTAATTCTGAGGGTGTAGAGCTTCCAAAGAAAAAGAAGAATCCATAGTGTTATTTACGCATAACAAATTTCGGCACTATTTACCCTTTGCTGCCCCACATAATCGAGAATGGGCCGGATTCCCATCGAATTTTTTTCAAGAAGACGAAACCGAGTAGAAACTTGCCTAGAGTGGTAATTTGACCCGCAGAACGCGAATATCTCATCCATTTGTCATGAGACTGCTTGGCGCCGGCGCAAGTTGGCGCTGGGTCACCAATCTTGCTGAAAACTTGCTCCTAAGTAGTGTGTTAAAACATGGATATCATATTTACAGGCATTTTCATGGCCACAATAAATGCGATGTTCGTGTTCCACGGGTCAAACTACCCCTTTAGGCAAGTTTCTAGTCGGTTTCATCTTCTTNGCACTATTTACCCTTTGCTGCCCCACATAATCGAGAATGGGCCGGATTCCCATCGAATTTTTTTCAAGAAGACGAAACCGAGTAGAAACTTGCCTAGAGTGGTAATTTGACCCGCAGAACGCGAATATCTCATCCATTTGTCATGAGACTGCTTGGCGCCGGCGCCAGTTGGCGCTGGGTCACCAATCTTGCTAAAAACTTGCTCCTAAGTAGTGTGTTAAAACATGGATATCATATTTACAGGCATTTTCATGGCCACAATAAATGCGATGTTCGTGTTCCACGGGTCAAACTACCCCTTTAGGCAAGTTTCTAGTCGGTTTCATCTTCTTGGAAAAAATTCGATAGAAATCGAGCCCATTCTCGAAAAAGTGGGGCAGTGAAGGGTAAATAGTGCCCAAATTTCTCACAGAAAAGAGGAGCGCCCGGCGTAGCCGGGCAAACTAATAAGAAGGAGGGAAGCCTGGCGTTAGCCGGACGGTCCGAGTGGCTATTAGTAAATTGCTGTCCTACAGATTTACACGCCGTTTGGAAATAGGGATTAAATCGCGAACATTACCTTGGCTCCGCTCTTCGTTTCCAAGCCTCATCCTTGAAATAATCTTTTACACTCAGCAGCACCTCAGAAATGACCCTTATGGAGATATTCTGATTAGTTTTAATACGCTTCTTGACAAAAATGGGCGATCTCGTTCTGATAGACAAATTCCAGCCCAGCCATCATAGAAGGGGAAGATAACAACAAGGAACGATCTGCCCTTCCTCAACTTCCTCCCCACTCGTAGTTATAAAACACATGCACTCTTTGGGATCTGAACATTTCTTCCAGCTCAAAAGCTACTTGGCAGAAAAAAGTTTATCGAAGCGCGTGGCGCGTGCAAGAAGGATACGGCATTTGCGCCTCCTCTCGATTTTCTTCTAGCCAAAAAGCTTAGAAGGCTTCCCTCACCTATCTGGATAGATTTTGAGTTACGTGGAGAAGAAGGTTCTCATTGAAGTTATACATACAATTCGACAAACATTTTTCTCTTGTTTCTATAGGTTCCTAACGTTATCACTTTCAAGAAATTATATTCGGGAAAAAGATGTAAAATGAGACAGGACAAACGTCTTAAGGCTCGTCGTTGACCTGCCCACGCTGAGCGACTAGAGAAACTGTCATGTAAAAAACGTCGGAACAACGAGCGATCCGGGAATATGGCTTACCAAGAGCGCGCAGAGACGGAGCGGTTACTGGATGATCGGTTTAACCATTGTTTGGAAGGTGACGGATTCCTAGCACCAAAGCAGAAATGTGAGCTAAGGTATATCATAAACCTGAAGGAAGGTGCAGATTTGGAAGTATCCTGTGGGCAAGGCAAGGAAATTGCGGACTCCTGTAAGGTTGTTACCATAATTATGGCGTGCTCTGTATAATCGCTTTGATCTCAGGGCTGTTGAAGGTTATTAAGGAAAGCAGCAGCGATGAAAATTTGAAGGCGGTTTTGTTTCGAAACTTAAAAGTGATTTTCAGTAATTTCATGCTTTTTGAACGAATGGTGCGGTAGTTTGTGAGGTTAAGAGGTTTGGGAGGTCAGCGTGATAAGAAGTACATAGCAGGGCAAATATCCATAGTCGAACCAACTGTTTTCATTTCAGGCATGGCAAACGTGGTAAGTTTAGAAGTAGTTCAAGAGGAATGGGCAAATTGAAAATTTTCGATAGTTCCGGCTACTATCGAGGTTTTTGAGAAAAAAATTCTAGGATTTCTCGCACTGCTCTAAACGCCGTTGAGTGTCGAAACGGCTCTGCCATGTTTAGTGGTAGTCGGGCTTTTTCTCATTTTTTTCACCTTGGAGTTGGTGTCGATGGAACATTTCAGATAGAAGTTGTGAGGCAACAACAGTCCGCTCAACAGTTGTACCGCCTTCGAAGTGATCTGGATATGGTCTCAAATGATAACAAGAAGCTTGCGAATTCGCTAGACAAACGTTTTCCTGCTGAGCGTTTCACTTCATCTTATTTGATGTGAAGGACAGAGGCAGACACTTACTCTAACTGTTATGACATTTCGGATTTTGTGTTAATAAACAATGATCAACATTATACTTTGCTATATTTTCAGACTCGCTTTTTTGCTGTGCTTTTCGAAGTGTAGCCCAAATTCACCTTCGCTAACGTACAATGCCAAATAAACGTGACGATGTTGAGTTCCTGATTGAAGCTCTGGAGGGGTCTTCAGAGGGGCGGACATCTGAAAAGTCATGGTTCAAAAGAAAGAGTTAGAGCTCTTTAATGCATCAAAGTCGCGATGCAAAAGTTTCTGCTGAGTCATAAGAGTGGGAAGAAAATGTACTTTTCCACTAAACTTTCAGCAATTTCTAGACATAAGACCTCTCAAATGTCCAATCTTCGCTGCGATTTGTATGTCATGGATGCTTTTACACTTTTTGTTAAATTGCTCAAATTCATTATTCCTGTCCTAAAAATGCTACCAGAAACGGCTAAAGTGCAGAAGAGCGGGTAAATAACATGTGTGGTAAATGAACAACTACCCCCAATTTCTTTTCATGAATGCGAGCTGGAGGCATGCACGTAGAGACGGCTAAAAAGTTTTTAACGGTGCACTAGGAAATGGCCGATCTGCTTACGGGATTGTAAAGTTATAGTTCATGTGTTTTAGCGAAGGTGAGACATCAACATTTTGCCACTTTGGCAACTCAATCGTATTTGACGAACTCGTTTTAGGCGTTGAAGTGAAAGCTCATTCTGTGAAAAGAAGAGTGGAACATGAATTTGGATACCACTGTAGCGCCAACCAATAATTACCCTCTAAGTGTAACGGGTTAGTTTCAAGTTAGGAGCAGACGGGCGCCGCATGCATCGAAAGACAAGGGCTGCTTGACTATCAACAAATGTCTTCTAAAAGTTCCTAAAGGCGCAGGTCACGATAATTCTGGGTAATCCAAATTATGACGAAGAAGGAAGATGGGAAATAGTAAAAGCGAAAGCGAAGAAACCGCGTGAATCGGTGTCTAAAGTGAGAAGAGGCTTTGAAAAATCGTTGAAAAGGGGGCTGAACGAGAATAAGACCAGAAAAATGAAGTATGGGCGTTCGGACGAGCTGAACAACGTATGTCATTGCATACGTGTGGGTCCTGGTGCGAATAGCTGACTACGGTGAGCAAAAATTTATTCACTGATGAGCACAATTTAGCATTAAACCCTATTTCGAAATGCTGCTATCTCTGAGCTTCATTCGAACCCGTTGTCAACATAGTCTGAAGAAGGCATATGCCGAAAGCTAACCAAAAGCTCTAATAAGAGGAAAAGTAGCCCACCTTATTAGCCTTTTGTGGTAGAAAATTGAATTGGGGATCGCAGCAGCAGAAAGAATGACAGAGAGTAAAAGAACGGGAAAAAACATCTCCTCATTACTCCTTGATGAGCTGATTGTGTGTGGGTCCTAGAGCGAACATTGCAATCTGTATGGCCTCGACACTCGTCTAAAGTGATATCGAACGAGAGGCGTGAAGTCTGGGCGATTCGGTAGTGGGGCTCCTTCTATGCTCTAGCTGTAGAGTTTTGGGCCTCGACAGCATCCTTCCTGCCTTCCTGTTACCCTTAAAGGCCACTTAGTATTCCTGGGGGGACACTCAGAAACTATTCTTATCGTGAACTGTGCCTTTGAACTAAACATCACTGAATATGCCCTACTCGATGAGCTCGGGCGGGCTGCTTGAATCTCAAAATTTCTGGCTTCGACTTTCTGTGTTTATTATAATGCGTCTATCTGCTTAGTGTTCCATAACAAGCAGGTACTCGTAGCTCACGTATGAACTTGACTTGATCGAAATATCGTCCTTATCAAGAACCTAACACTTAGGTATGGATCTGCGCCAAAGAGATTGAAAACCAGAATAGACTGGGTCTCGGTGACTCATGGTGGCATGTATATGGACGTATTAGATGTTTTGTGGATCACCGGCCAAAAGGGTGGAGAATTTAATTGGCTGACGCTTTGGCCTTGTCACCTTCGTCAGAACCTAGGAAAAAATGCTCGGGATTCATTCTTATCGAGCGACATTTCGGACGTCTGCGTAGTTTAACCCATTAACGACCATGCAGTCCACATGTGGACTGCAGTTGTGTTTTTTGTTTCATTCATCTAACTTTCTACTTTCTTTCAATTCTTCTTCTCAGAACATTACATCAGGCCTAAATGAAACTACATACAGCGTGGTCCTAGAAAATCTTATGATTTTGCGATTGTGAAGGTTTTTTTTTTGAAGGAGTACATCACCTTGGTAAATTTTCATTTTTTCATGATTCCTCGTTGAACAATTTCAAAAAATGCGTTATTTAGAAAAGACGGTCGTCATTAGCATTTCCAAATGCAAAGCTCGTAAAAATTCCCCGAAACGATTTCTGGTAATGATTAACCCATTGGCGACCGCCGCCGGCAGGCCACGCTGTCGTCAATGTGTTAAGCCCTGCCTATTGACATCTAGAAAGGTCTTGTGAATTACTGGTGACTCATCCCAGAAGTACAGAAGATAGGTTACCGATTTCTGAACTGTTTAATCAAACCCTTAGTAGTAAACGGGTTTTTCTTGGACGGATCTGCCTTCGAAAGTGGACGTTTGTGAATCTCTTCGGCATCAGAGATATACTGGATTGTGAGTTCACTGCACTAATTGAATCACACTTTCAAACTACAGTTCGATGCAACTTGAGGAAATATTTTCTCTTTCGGAAAGAGGGACGTGGTCTTTCTCGGAAAAATGTCTGGTTCCGGAAATTGTTCAAGATCAACCTTCTGAATAGGACGGTTTGTGGGACTTATGAGTATTCAGAGTTACACTGGATTGTGAGTACACTGCACTCATTGAATCACACTTTCAAACTACAATTTGAAGCAACATAAGGAAAGCTTCCCTGATTCGAAAAAAGAGACGTGGTATTTCTCGGAAAATGGCTTAATTTTGATAATTGTGCAGAATCTGCCTTCAAAAGTGAACGATTTGTAAATGTCTTCAGCGTCAGAGTTTTACTGGATTGTGAGTACACTGCACTAATTGAATCACATAGCAGACAACACACCCAATTTGCCTGACAATCTGACTGGCAGACTCTGGCAATTTGCCAACCACCTTATCGATTTTTCACCAACTTCGCTCCAATGCGAAAGTGGTGAATGGCAATTAGATTTCGTAGTCAGCCTAGCGAGGGGCGGAGGGCGACCGTGGCTCACTCTCCTGCCCCTTATTGTGCCCTATCCAGACCATTTCCGACCCCATTCCTGCACAAATGGTAGAGGGGGGGGGGGCGAATTCAAACCATGTGCAAATCTCCGAAACCATTTTTTCGTGAACAGTGCCTTTAAAGACATATACGTGAGAGGTTTTCAAACGTTACAAATGCACAGTGAGAAGGGTTGCGAGAGATACGGAGACGTGTAACAGACGGTGAAAACTGCCTTCCCGTAAACGACAAGGGAGAACAGTTCGTGGTCCTCTCCTGGATAGGGAGATGCGGAGCTTCAATTTAGTGTTACTTCTCTTCACAGCAGTTTACAATATATGTATGTTGCTCTTGTTTGATAGCAACGCCTAGGAGACTATGGTAAGTTTTGACGATCTTAAGGTGCTCTTCACTCAAGCTACATTTGATCCCAACTTCTTATTCGTGATGAATTTTGAGGAGACGGCGGTTGACTCGCATCGCTGCAGGGACTGTAGCAATTGACGGGTAAGTACAATGTTCTGTCGGAGAGCAAGAGCTTCACTTACTAAACTGAACAGGTGCTGCTTTACATCGCCTAACAATTTCCACGTTCAGTCTTCTTCAAAATTGCGCATTTCACATAATGTTCAATACTCCTCTGCCATACAGGTTTGTTATGGCTGACCCGCTTTATTGGTCAACGTTTCGTCCGTCTTCAGGACCTTAAAATAGTTTTAAGCTCCTAATCTGTGGCTTACACGACCAAGTGGCCAAACGCGCTAGGCTAGTTGCATTAACTCCCGGAAACTAAAACTTGGAAAAATTCATAGCAAAGTTACTGAACTGCTTCGGTTCCATCAGCATTACGTTTAACTCTATGTGAACAACAAGGGTAGAATAAGACACCATTGATGATCATGCCGCATGACACACGTGACGTTCCTCGCAGCAGGCACGTCGCAGCAATGAAAAGGAAACTATAGTACTCGCCGTAAGAACTCAAAAATTTACGAGAATACCGCGAGTTCGTGTCTTTTTCGTCTTTACTTTACAAATCGCTTCAATGTAAATTAATCGAGGAAAAAAAAACCGTTGAACACAGCTCATTGAGCTCTACAAGATGATACCCTAAAATGTTGAAAATGCTTTATTTTGGATTGCACCATGCACTTGAGCTCCATCCAAAAAGTGATTGCATGCACATGGGGTGCAAGCTTTAGTGCTTGTAGGGGCTCATTGGTCCCCGAAGATGACCTGTTCAGAATTTGCTTTGG